TTTGGGGCCAACTTTTGGGTGAGAACAGAAGAGAAATTGAATTCACTTCATCTGGTGTTAACTGAAATAAGAGTTAATGTGTCAAATATCTTCATCCTGACTAAAACTAAGACCACAGATTAGGGCACCACAGGGTGTGACTAGAAAAGCACTGCAGAAAAGAATGCAAAAACAGGAAGGTCTCATGTTGAGAGCTGGCTGCCTAATGGATAAGAAATACGAGGAGAACACAAGAAAAGAGACTGGCGCTGCCGGGCGCGGTGGCTCAGGCCTGTAATCCCAGCACTTTGGGAGGCCGAGGCGGGTGGATCATGAGGTCAAGAATCGAGACCATCCTGGTCAACATGGTGAAACCCCATCTCTACTAAAAACACAAAACATTAGCTGGGCATGGTGGCGCGTGCCTGTAATCCCAGCTACTCAGGAGGTTGAGGCAGGAGAATTGCCTGAACCCAGGAGGCGGAGGTTGCGGTGAGCTGAGATCGCGCCATTGCACTCCAGCCTGGGTAACAAGAGTGAAACTCCGTCTCAAAAAAAAAAAAAAAAAGAAAAAGAAAAGAGACTGGTGAGTAATGAGGGTGAATTTAAAGGCTTTCAACAAAGCCACCTTCTCTGGCAGCATTGCCACTCCTCCTGCTGCCCTCAGGACAATTCCTGATCAAGCTGGTGACAGCCTTATGCTCAATCATCCCCTGGGTCCTTCAGCATTTCCTTCCCTGCTAAAGTAGAGGTGAGGATCAATGTTACTTGAGTAAACATTTGGTTCTTACAGACGTAAGTACAACTTCCTTCTCTTAAGACAGCTCCGTTTTCCTAAAGACACTGTATGAACCCCCAAGAACCTATAATGTTCCCTGGAACCAGTAGGAGTGTTGAGTCCTCTCTGGTTCTAGGTTTCTAGAAGAAACAAAGTTTATTAACAAATCTTATAGCAACTACGGCTGCCCAACTTTTCCACATGGTTTCTTCTCTGTAACTAGATCATGTTAATGCAATTACTATCAAAACTTAAATGAGTTTCTTTTGACATAGACAAGCTTTAAAAACAACTTTAAAAATGAGAATAAAGTGGGAAGAATTACTCTTCCCAATATTAAGGCCCAATATATAACTGCAGAACCCCGGCAGTATGGCAATGGTAGAGGGAGCAGGCAAAGCAATCAGTGGAACAGAAGAGAGAACCCAGATATAGATCCGCTCAAAATTCCCATTAATTTTAGACGAAGTAAAAGCAATGGAATAGAGGGAAAACAGCCTTTTTTTTCTTTTAAATATATATTTTATTGAGTTTTAGGTTTGGGGTACATGTGAAGAACATGCATGATTGTTGCATAGGTACATACATGGTAATGTGGTTTGCTGCCTTCCTCCATGTCACCTATATCTGACATTTCTCCCAATGTTATCCCTCCTCAACTCCCCATCTCCCATTGTCCCTCCCCTATTCCCCCACAACAGACCCCAGTGTGTGATGCTCCCCTCCCTGTGTCCATGTGTTCTCATTGTTCAATACCCGCCTATGAGTGAGAACATGCAGTGTTTGATTTCTTGTTCTTGTGTCAGTTTGCTGAGAATGATGGTTTTCAGGTTCATCCATGTCCCTAAAAAGGATGTGAACTCATCGTTGTTTATGGCTGCATAATATTCCATGGTGTATATGTACCACATTTTCAAGGTCCAGTCTGTCATTGATGGGCATTTGGGTTGGTTCCAAGTCTTTGCTATTGTAAACAGTGCTGCAATGAACATACATGTGCATGTGTCCTTATAATAGAACAATTTGTAATCCTTTGGATATATACCCAGTAATCGGATTGCTGGGTCAAATGGAATTTCTATTTCTAGGTCCTTAAGGAATCGCCACACTGTCTTCCACAATGGTTGAACTAATTTACACTCCCACCAACAGTGCAAAAGTGTTCCTATTTCTCCACATCCTCTCCAGCATCTGTTGTCTCCAGATTTTTTAATGATTGCCATTCTAACTGGCGTGAGATGGTATCTCAATGTAGTTTTGATTTGCATTTCTCTGATGACCAGTGATGATGAGCATTTTTTCATATGTTTGTTGGCCTCATGTATATCTTCTTTTGTAACGTGTCTGTTCATATCCTTTGCCCACTTTTGAATGGGTTTGTTTGTTTTTTTCTTGTAAATCTATTTTAGTTCTTTGTAGATTCTGGATTTTAGCCCTTTGTCAGATGGGTAGATCGCAAAATTTTTTTCCCATTCTGTTGGTTGCTAATTCACTCTAATGACTGTTTCTTTTACTGAGCAGAAGCTCTGGAGTTTAATTAGGTCCCATTTGTCCATTTTGGCTTTTGTTGCCAATGCTTTTGGTGTTTTAGTCATGAAGTCCTTTCCTACGCCTATGTCCTGAATGGTTTTGCCTAGGTTTTCTTCTAGGGTTTTATGGTGTTAGGTCTTATGTTTAAGTCTTTAATCCATCTGGAGTTAATTTTAGTGTAAGATGTCAGGAAGGGGTCCAGTTTCTGCTTTCTGCACATGGCTAGCCAGTTTTCCCAACACCATTTATTAAACAGGGAATCCTTTCCCCATTGCTTGTTTTTGTCAGGTTTGTCAAAGATCAGATGGTTGTAGATGTGTTGTGTTGTGTCCGAGGCCTCTGTTCTGTTCCATTGATCTATATCTCTGCTTTGGTACCAGTACCATGCTGTTTTGATTACTGTAGCTTGTAGTATAGTTTGAAGTCAGGTAGTGTGATGCCTCCATCTTTGTTCTTTTTGCTTAAAATTGACTTGGCTATGTGGGCTCTCTTTTGGTTCCATATGAAGTTTAAAGTGGTTTTTTCCACTTCTGTGAAGAAGGTCATTGGTAGCTTGATGGGGATAGCATTGAATCTATAAATTACTTTGGGCAGTATGGCCATTTTCACGATATTAATTCTTCCTAACCATGAGCATGGAATGTTTCTCCATCTGTTTGTGTCCTCTCTTATTTCTTTGAGCAGTGGTTTGTAGCTCTCCTTGAAGAGGTCCTTTACATTCTTTGTTAGTTGTATTCCTGGCACTGGAGCAATTTGACCTAAACCAATATCAAAATTAACTTAAAATGGATCATGGAGTCAAATCATTGTGAGAAAAATCATTGTGGTATAGGACTAAGCAAAGTTCTTAGACTTGAAACCAAAAGCATGAACCATAAGAAGAAAAATTTATAAATTTCATCTCATCAAAATGAAAAACTTTTGTTTTGTGAAAGAACTTGGAAAAAGGATCAAAGGACACATTACAGACAGGAAGAAAACATTTAAAAATCACGTATCTAAGAAAGGTCTTATGTCTAAAATACATAAACAACTCACAACATTGAAACTCAACATAAAAAAAAAAGGACTGCTATTGTCTGAATGTTTGTGCCTCTCCAAAACTCATGTGTTGAAATCTAAACCCCAAGGTGATGATATTAAGAGGTGGGGCCTTTGGGAGGTGATGAGGTCATGAGGAGGAGGGCTCATGAGTGAGATCAGTGCCTTATAAAACAGCCCAGGGGAGCTTATCTGCCCCTTTCACTGTGTGTGAACACAGCGGGAAAGGACTGTTCTAGGAAACAGAAAGTGAGCACTCACTAGACACCAAATCTGATCTTGCACTTCCAGCCTCCAGAACTGTGAGAATTAAATTGTTGTTGTTTATAAGCCATCCAGTTTACAGTATTTCATTGTAGCAGCCTGAGCAACCAAGACAAGGGCCCAAGGCCTCCTTCAGCACCATGTTTTATGGTATGTGTTCTGTGAACCATCTGACTTCGGATCTTTGGGGAGGAGGAGGGAGCAGAGGGATTGGTAAAATGCCAATTCCCATGTACCACTCCAGAAATTCTGATTCAATAGATTTGGGAAGGACCTGAGGAATCTGCA